TACTAGCCTACTACATTTCAAATATCCTTTTTGAGATAGGGTCACATGTCTCCCAGGAAATTCTGACCGTCCTCTTAAGTGCTGGGATTTTAGACCTGCACTGCCACACCTACTTTATATGGCGCTGGGTATGGAGCCCATTGCTTTAAGAGTGCTTGGAAACACTTCCAGTGGAGCTCCAAGCCCAGTCCTAGTTGCACAGTTTAGAATAAACTCTCGCTATCTCAAGACTGCCATTTCCCAGACACTGAGAGAATGATAAAGTCTGCCTTGGAGTTGTGAGCACCAAGTGAAATAATCCACTGGAAAGACTCAATAAGCTAATTTCTGTCATCAATATTAGCGTTAAGTATCAACTACGTCGACTGTCAGTCAGATTATATGCTTGTATCCAACATCTCACCTTCTTCAGTTTTCAATGTATCTAATGATGCAGGAAACCCACTTCATCTTTATCCATATATTTAGGAATTTCTTCCCTCAGCTGGCTTCTAACTTGTCTCTCATAGCTCAGCACTGTCAACCCTAGTAATATTTCCTTGACGTTCTATAAAAACATCTATTCCAGCTCTTCAGTTCTTCAAATACATGACAAAGATCCTCTGTTCCATCCATCCTTTCTTAGGGGAATCCCCTTTCCTTCAGGGTAATTCTCTTCAAAAGTCATTTCCCCAGAAATCAGCAAAATGTCTCACACAAAGAGCACAGTTTGAGCTGAGACTTTCCCTATTCTTCTGGTGATACAAATGCCACATGTTGGGTGCCAGATATAACACGAGTAATAAAAACCCAAAGACACATATTGGGGTTCAAGTTGAAGATCAGAAAAGCAAAGTAGCCAAGCCACTAGAGCGTTCTTACCTTTATCCTCAGTGTGATTGCAAACTGCAATTCTCTCCACCAAACCTCAGACTGAAGACTAAGGCCTGAGGTCATGTCTCCTCCCATCTTATTTCTCTCTAGTGTTGGGATTAAAGGCATGAACCACCAACACCCAGCCTCTATGGCTAACTAGTGTGGTTTCTGAGATTAAAGGTGTGTGCCACCACTGCCTGGTATGTATGGCTGGCTAGTGTGGCTAGCTTTGTACTCTGATCTTCAGGCAAGTTTTATTTATTAAAACACAAATAAAATATCACTATATTTGGCTTCTGCTCGAGAAGGTTTTTGTTTTTTGGATGGTTTGGTAGGCTGGTTGTTTTTGTCACTGTCATTGTTGATTGTCTTCATTTTCTTTCTTATATCCTAGAGCAGCACATTGTATTTACCCTTTTAATTTTAATTTTACACTATAACTTCTACGGATTTTTCCAGATACCACAACTAGAGTTTAGAACTTTCACTGCCCCTCTTAGCCTTATACCACCACACATATTTCAAATGCATCCGTCCAAGTCATTCCTAAATGTTCCATCAGGTTGAATTCAATACCCTGAGTGGTTTGAACCCAATTAGAGAAGCTGGGTACCATTTTCATAATTGCACTGGCTCCCCTTGAACTCCCCTAGACCCTCGCTGTTCATCCAGTCTCATGATAAGGTGTCATTCCTCTGATTAAGAAAACTTGAAAGGAAATCTGCATTTCCATGGAAATTTAAACATTCCTCCCTGTCTCCTCAGATGCTACACTTTGAAACAGGCTACAGGTATGTGTCAGTCAAGGGTCTAGAGACGTGAAACCAAGAGAAGAGAGACTCAAGCTCTAGTTCACATGACTTGGTAATGCCAAACTCTTCAGGGAATGCTGGCAACCTGAAGATCTGGAAACTTTTTAGTTCAGGGTCAATAAAAGTCTACTTGCAGAATTCTTCTTCATCCGTCCTCATTTTCTTTTGTTTTTTATTTTTCTATAAGGCAAGATTGGGTGTTTGGTTTGGGATTTACTTTAGGTTGGATTGGTTGGCTTGGGGTTTTTGATTGGTTGGTTTGTTTTAAGCTTTTCTGTTTATTTTTGAGACTGTATTTTCATTACAGCATTTCTCCCTTCCCTCCAATCCCTCATCATATATCCTTCTCCACTCTCCTTCAAAGTCATGGCCTCTGTTTTCACTGTTACTGCAGGCATGTATATGTGTGTGTATGTAGTGTCGTGTGTGTGTGTGTGTGTGTGTGTGTGTGTATCTATGTAACGTTACATGTAAGTGTGTTTTCAAGCTGATTGTTCGGCACTGGACTTGTTCAGCACTGGACAACCAGTTAATATGCTTTTCCAAGGAAAGGGCCACCTCTCCCACACTCAGCTTCACTCAGTTTTTTATTGTTCTTCGTGTAGGACTGAGGCCTCCTGGGATTTTTCACCAGGCAATGCGGTGTGTTTGTTGATGTCCTCCTTGTTCAGCTCATGGTTGGGAGGTCATGTTGATAAGATATTACAGTGTAGCTTCTGTTGTTACTAAGAAACATAATCTCAAAGTAATAGCCCTGATCTTCTGGCTCTTACAATATTTCTAACCCCTCATCTGCAATGTTCCCTGAGCCTTAGGTGTGGGAGTGTTTTGTAGACCTATCCATTGAGACTGGGCTCCACAACTCTGCATTATAATCAGTTGTAGTTTTATATAATAGCCTCTCTGACTATTGCAAAGAGAAGTTTTCTTGATGAGGAGTGAAGATAAGAGTTATATGTGGGCATGGAGACACATATTTATATATTGTAGTTGGGTGCTATGGGGGCTTAGTAAATTATTGGTTATATATTCTCCTCCAGTTACCATGATTTCACTAGCACTGATTAGATAGCTAGGTTCCAGCACTAAGCATGGATTCTCTTCTGTTGAGTGGGTCTTAAGTCCAATTAGAGAGCCATTAGCTACCACCAACCTACGTGTGCTACTGCTGAACCTGTAGGATTGTTGTGCCATGCTGGTCATTTCTGTGTTCATGAACATCATGTCTGAAGAGGACTGTTCGTTGTGTTTCTCCTTTGCCAGCTTGTGTGACACCTTCTGGTCTCATGAAAGCTAAGGAGGGGACATTCAAGTCGTTCCAGCTCAAGGCCCTGTTTCTCAAGTTCATGAACTCTTTCAGAGTAGAAACTAATTTTACACCTCTGGAAATAACTAAGGGCAACAGCAATCGGCTGTATGTTTTAGGAATCTCTTAAAGAGCCTGGACCAATAACTTAAAAGAGGGTTTCTATTGTCTGGTACTGGGGTTTTAGTTAGGTGGTCTTCATTTTCTTAACATCATCAGCTGATTGGATGAGGCCTGTCAACAGTGTGAAGGGTAATATTTTTGCTCAAGGCTCGCTGACTTTAAGTTTCAATTTAACGCAAAAAACAAAATCCGTCCTCACAGAAACATCCACATATACAAATATCTGGCATCATGGTCCAGTCAGGTTAGCACATACCATAAACCATGAAACTATCACTAACCCTTTAATTTTTTTCGTGCAGAGAAAACTGGTAAAAGTTTATTTTTATGAGACCTAGATTTATGTTTTGATAGTTAAATTATTTTACAGTATACAATCTGCTATGTAAGTCTGTGACTATGTGTCTGTCCACATGGCTTGTCACAGTGAAATGCAATATATCCAACTAATCATTTTATTATATTTAAGTATAAAATCTAAGTACATGCATTTAGATTTCACAGCACAAAATTCATATCAGTCAGCAGTCATGTGTTCCTGAAAGACTGGTAGTTCAGGGAAATGAGAATGCAACACTAATTTTTTTTCTCTTTTTATTGATTTTTATTGAGCTCTTCGTTTTTCTCTGCTCCCCTCCCTTCCTCTCCCTTCCATATCAACCCTTTCCCAAGGTCCCCATGCTCCCAATTTACTCAGAAGAGCTTGTCTTTTTCTACTTCCCGTGTAGATTAGATCTAATTATGTCCTCATTGTTGTCTAAGTTCTCTGCAACTATGATTTGTAGGCAGGTTTTTTTTTTTTTACTTTATGTTTAAAAACCACTTGCAACACTAATTTTAAGATTAACCCTGCTCCAAGTATCAGAATCTAGATTCGACATGCACCACAGATAGGTTTCATCATTCACTTCAATATTCTGAAAATTCCACCTTTATAACTTCAATTTCAAATTCTAGTAATATATTCTAAATGATTGGAAAAATTATCAAAAGAAAGTATCCGTACAAAGAAGATATCAAAGCATCAAGTTCTGGTTCAATATTAAGAATTTTGGTGAAAATTCTCTTGGGTAAAAAAAATTCCTTGATACTATCTATAAAATTAGTTTGAGATAGGGACTGGAGAGATGGCTCAGTGGTTAAGAACACTGACTCTTCTTCCAGAGGACTCAGGTTCAATTCCCAGCACCCACATGGCAGCTTACAACTCTCTGTAATCCCAGTTCCAGGATACTGAACACCGTGATACAGATGTACATGCAGAAAAAAAAACAACAACAATGCACATAAATAATTTTAAAAAATAGTTTTAGGGAACTAGTTTTGTGTTCTATGCATTTGTAAATCTGTATTTTCAATTTTTACTTTTTCTTGGTTAGCCACCTGTGACAGAAATTATTCAACTGAGACATTAAGGGAACTGTAGAAGGCTGGAGAGAAGAGTCAGCTGTTGCTCTTCCTGAGGACGCAAGTTCAGTATCCAGCACCCAGAGCAAGACAAGGGGCTGGAGAGATGGCTCAGAGGTTAAGAGCACTGGCTCCTCTTCCAAAGGTCCTGAGTTCAATTCCCAGCAACCACAAGCTAGCAGTTGGCAGCTACCTGTAACTCCATCTCTAAAGGATACAACACAGTATTCTGGTCTCCACAGATTCTCATGTTCACAAACACACACACACACACACACACACACACACACACGTAGTTTAAAAATAACTTTTTTTTCAAGACAGGGTTTCTCTGTGTAACAGCCCTAGCTTTCCTGGCACTTACTCTGTAGACCAGGCTGGCAAAAAAAAAAAAAAGATATTTTTTAAAGAAAATTTGTAACTGTTTCATAAATTACATTAGTAATTCCTTTTGGTGAAATTTACTTTTCTCTTTTATTCTATTTTCTCCTCTTTAGGTTTGGATGTGTGGAGGAGAAATGTTTGACGTTCCATGCTCTAGAGTCGGCCATATCTACAGGAAGTATGTCCCTTACAAAGTTCCTTCTGGGACCAGCCTGGCAAGAGTGAGTAACTGGGCATCAGAACAGTCCGGGCTCACGCAGGCTCTGCTTCCTGCGGGCGGGTACTCAGTCATACACATGGTTGTCAAGAGCCCTGTTCCTCTGCTGTGTCTCCACTGCTTAAAGAAGCATTAACTGTGACGGTTTCTGTCATGTATCACAGCATCTGCACACGTATTATATTTCACATTAACCATTATCTTCTGCTAATCCTTGTTAACAGTGTTAAATATCAATTGGGTCAGCCATCAGTCCAGACTGTGTGCTGGTCTACAGGGTCACCTACTGTGGGTTTCATGACCAAGAAGAATCTTAGGGAAGTGGTTTGCTCTTGAACTCATGAATGACCAACAGCAGTAGTGTAAAACGAGACCTGCAAATAGATGATCATCTTTCCCTTAACGTGAAATACAATAGACATAATTAGTCACACGAAGTAAAGAGTAGAAGTGGGGGGAGTGGAGGCTCAAACTCAAGTTTCTCCTCCTGTAGAACAACAGTTAATGCTAAGTATAGGTTCAGACCATCCTTAAATTTCCCATAATTAACTAAGTCCAGTTTTATTTCATCTTTGCTTTGTTTTGTTTGGAATAAAATTTTTCTTGCAGATCAAATGAAAGGGCACTTTTACCATTTGCCTTTTAGAAGCTTCCGTGCCTGTTTGGGAAGATAGAAAAATCTCAAACCTTCTCCAGACATCCCTAATGATGTCTCTGCCCTCCATGCTACCTCCTTCTTGGTTGTGTCTGTTCTCTTGACCACATTCTGTGCTACAACTTAGATGCCGAATCTAAAAATGTGGGGGTCTTCAGATGCATTGGTACTATGATCGCCTAAGTATCTAATTTTGAGTTACTTGTTTTGATTTCTTTACTAAGGTTCAGTGTATAACCACTTGGATCTTTTCTATATGTCTCAGCAAACTCAAATAACAACTTTTTGCAAATTACTATTATTATTGTTATTATTATTACAAATTACTTCACCAGGATTCATTCACATATCAGTTTCACAAGATTGGAGCTTTGAGTCTGCTATTTTACATTATACCATCATCTAAAATGGAGCATGGAGAACATTCGGCTAACTTGTTGAAGAGTTTAATTAATTAGACTCCTCAAGGATAATATATAGGTTCAAGTTGTTAATAAAACTTAGGACATTTTAATGAACCTGAATAAAATTATCATCCTAGTAAACCCCTTCAGGTTCTTGTTCTTTCTCACTTGCTTTGTGAGGCTGTCAACCGCATTCACATTTTCTCTACCCGTGTCCACGGCCCTTTTAGCAGTCGTGAGACATTCTATGATGAAATTTCACCGCACATTCCTTAACAGGAAGCCGTCATCCCTCCACTCCCCGCTCCCTCAAATAACAAGACATCAACAACACGTTGCACTAAATACCTGTTTTAAAACCCTGTACGATGGGGAAAACACTCATGAAATTCATAAACTGATTAAAAAGCTGTATTTTGGATAAAGAAATACAGCTATAATTTAGCCAAAGGACTTAATACATATGAATGAGGAAGCCACACGGATTCACAAGAAGGTTAAAGAGAAAATAAATTCAAGCACATATTACACATCAGCTGTGTGGATTTCATTGCAGTGTGAAAATCCTAAGGATAAAGAAAGTACTTGCCGTGTATCTACTTTCCTTCACTCTTTCGCTTCGACTTGTGCCCCCATTCATTTGTGGGCAGATGGTGCATGTGGCCAGCTCATAGTGTAAAAGATGAGCAGGGGAAACGATGCTGACGCAAAACAGGGTAGTTTGTAAAAAATAAAATAAAACAGCTCATATATTTTGGGAGAGAAATGAAGCACTTTTTTAAAAACTGTCAAATATTGAGAAACTAGGGCTGGCCCATAAAACATGCAGGAAAAAGTGAATATTTGTTCAAATGAAAGAAGTCCATAACTCTGAATTTTAATCTTTTCCACTTAAATTTTGCTTGAGGGCTCATTTTAGTTTTTTTTTCCCCAAACTGCTAGAGCAATCAGAAAGTCATAAATACTGAGGCTCAAATGTCACTCTTAGGAACATTTTATGATCTTTGAAGGTATATTAAAATGAAAAACAATTCTGATATTTTGAGAGAGAAACTCAGCTACTTTGCCACACTCTGCTATCACTAAATCATCACATGCACAAAAAAAAAAAAGATGAGAAGCTGTCAAGATAATTGAAATGCAGAGTCACATCTGATCAGTAGATATTTTAATCTTCCTGGCCTTGTTAAGATATGGAGATGAAACTGGAAACATGCCCCCAAAGGTTTGTTTCTGTACTTTACAAAGCACATTTAACCCAGTGGAAATGTGTCTATTTCCTTGTGGACCTATGTCACTGATGACTCCAAATACACAGAGGTGTGAACACATGCATGCACCTACATGCCTGCACACACATGCACACACATACACACACATACACCTAAATACACCTGAAATCCTCTCGTCAACACACTGGTGTGTATTATCAGAAACTTCTCTTTAGCACGGTACTCTGACAAGAGGACATGACAAAGCTACCCATCTGTGAACAAATGCTTCTCCACGGGTGCTGGGAACATGTCTAAACCTCAGAAGGAGGGGCAGTGCTATTATAGTTCTGAATCCAGTCCTTGCAGATAAAAGACTTAAAAGAAGAACATTTAAGGATGCCCCAGTTTGATTAATCAATTTCTATTAATAGGGTTTTCAAATTCAGAACCAGCGATCAGAGTCAACTTCTAGCCAAGTTTTGACCCAGTCTTCGGTGAGCTGAGCAAAACAATCATCACAAAGCTGTATTTACTCAATCTAGCAATGGAGGTCGTGTGCATTAATACAGTGTTCTCTCTTGCTGCGGGGTCCAAGGTGGTCACTTTGTTCTTGTTAACATTCTGACTGAGTAAAAGTAAAATTTAACCTCCCTGTGTCGTTTCCTCAAAATGAAAAAATCTGAGACATGGTGACTTGCAATTCAGTTTCCTATGAGAATCAAAGGACTTGCCTAGCATTCAAAATCCTGTTTATTTTTCTAAATCAACTTGGGACCTAATGTGGGCACACTGGAGCACAGCCATGGCATCTTCTGCTGGGAGTAAAGGAGCAGTTGCCAGGAAAAGGATGCTCACAGTGACTGGTTCAACACAGGACAATGAGCAGCAGAGGTTGGCTAACAAATGCTTTGCCCCACTAGATGTGGGTAGCAGGATCCCAAGTTCAGTTTCTCTTTCTGACAAACACTTTGCTAAAGGAGGAGTAATTACTAGCACCTTGGGGACTGTGGTAAGGGACCCAGGCTCTCTGGTTGATTGCCAGTGTGTTCTGAGTTTTGAAAGGGGGTACCTCTAATAGTAAGGATATGAAAAGAATAGCAGTCACCCCACAGAAAACCACACCAACTGACTATAGCATAATAGCAGCATCATGGCCCAGTGACGTTTCCCTTGGAGGATCCCCCAAACAGGACAATGATATAGATAGCGAGGGGGTCAGTTTGGACGCACAAACTTCCATCCTTCCTGCTAACAGAAGATAAAACTGGAATCAACTACAGGAGAAGGGCAAGTTCACATGTATGTAAATTTACAAGTATGTGCGGAGTGCAAAGACCAGATATCAGCCTCCAGTGTTGTTACTCACAGGCTGCCCATTCTGTCTGTTGAAACAAGGTCTCTCATGGGACCTGGACTGAGGCGTTAGCCGGTAAACCCCCAGGATCCACCTGTCTCCACCTGCCCAGCCCTGGGATCACAGCTATGCACCACCACACCTGGCCTTCTAGGTGGATGCCGGGGATCAAACTCAGGTCCTTGGGCTTTCACAGCAGACATTTTAACAACTGAACCACCTCCTTGGCACCAAAGCTAGAAATAACCCTCTCCTAAGTCTGTAAAGACCCAGCAGTGCCTGACAGACGGAACTTCATATCCCAACATTTCACCTTTAACATGCCAGGAATTTATTTTTGATCCTAAAATTGCATCTTGACTTTTATGCCAACCTTCAAGAATGTGGGGGAATTTAGATTTTAATGGGTTTCAGGGTAAAAATTCTAAGGTCAAAGAAGTGAAAACTGGTAAAGGTTATATTTTCCAGAATGCTCCGTAGTTCTGGAAAATGGCAACTTACAGCAAAAGGGACAGAGGTTAAATGACAAATGAGTAGATTTGGGATTATGAACCAAGGTCTGTGTCCAAAGCAAGCCCTTAAACACCCCTGCCTTTACAGAAGCGTTGGAACAGAAAGCAGCTGTGGCCTTCATGGCAGATGCACCAGCAAAGTCAGGAAGGCAAAGGTCACAAGGTTACATCCGGCTGCATTTGAGACCTGTGAGGCTGACCCATGAATGTGCAATGGAGGAAGAACATGGAGATCTCTAGATCACGAGGCCCATCCTCCTCTTTCACACCGTGAGAAGGAACTGATGGTTCTCAAACAGCAAGGACCAGAGGAAAAACACGTAGAGTAAAATGGAAATATCAGCCAATACTGAAGGGGAGTGAGAATAAAAAAAGTGGTATTACCCATGCGTGAAACCTGTAAAGATGATTTCTTAAAACATCTATATGGATTTGCTATGCTGTGGAAAGATAAAGGCGAGGTTTGGTAGACTGTGTGCAAAGCTTCCCTCTCAGCATGTGAAAGAAAACAGTATCAGCACAAAAAGAAAGGGATGAGAAAAGGCAGAGAAAGGATGTGTCTTGTATAGGCATGTGAATCTACTGTGGGCTCTGGTGCACCAGGTCTAGAGAGACACATTTAGACCAGATTCTGCACTTCTGCAAGAATGTGTGCTGTTCCCTTTAATGTTTGCTTACTAGAAGAAGGTAAAACAAACTGCTGATTGTATCAGGCATGAATCTAGGCTCTGGGGCTTAAGGGAAGAGCAAGTCAAGCACAAATCTTAAATTCTCTTACCCATGGCGGTTGGGTGGAGTGAAGGCGGTTCACCTGTAAACCACCAGAATACTAACCACTAGACAGAGAGAAGGATGAAAGGGGAGT